AGATTTGACTGCTTGTTGAGCAATTTCTACACGATCAATTAAAGCTAAACAAATTTTCTGGTTACATTTTCCATTTTTGTAAGCTTTCACTATTGAATCTACAATAGTTTGAACAGATTGAAATAACGGAAGAAATGGTTGAACTGCATCTCCAACAACTTGAAAACCATCAATTATGCTATCGGAACCTATTTCATATTCACCACATAAATGTGGTTTATAATTATCGTCTATTTTTCTTTTTTTATTGTTCTCATCAGATTTCACTGTATTTTCCTCAGGCATATTTTCTTCAAATATCATTTTATTTTCTTGAGACATTTTAACTATATACAAAAGTTTCTATGAATTAATTGTGACCCTATTAACCAAGAACGTGCATCTGATTGATGGTACTTTTTATTGACATTTCCGGATTTGTACTGTATAACTGTGTCACTCATACTAATGCTAACGCTATTTGCCGATTATGGCTGATCGTCGCCGAAGTGGCTCGGGTCAAATCTTAATCTGCCAAATAAATGTGCATAGAGTGAATTTAGTGAATTTATAGGATATATTGAATTTAGCGTATATAGTGAACACATATTCGGCTTTGGAAATGCGTACACGTAATACCGAATACCATAATCGTTATTGAACGTATTGATATTACTGTATTAGTTCCGGAGAGAAAGTTCGTATCCGGAAACCCCCTGCGCCTGGTATTGATATAGTGAAATACTTCCATTAACTGCCCTAATACCAGATATATACCGGTACATTCATACGTACGTACGCTGTAATTATCTTGAGAATATAAACGATACCACAATCCAACAGCGATAATTATCAAAAGAGGGAGTTCTATATAATTTTATCCGTGGATTTAATGATAACAGATAAATATATTTTCTTTTATGATCAGTAATTTATGTTCTTAATAACGATTTAAGGATTTATTAATGAGAGCTAATAGTTAATACGCATAAAAGTCGAGACTGATTAACTGTTAAGCTGTATGTATGTATGTACGTACGTACGTACGTACATGTGCAGCTAACAGCTAACTATATTTATCGTTATGTGTGATTGAAGTTACAATAAGATTCGAGCATTAAAGATAGGTTTTAACAAAAGTAATTAATGATATGGAGATGCCATTAAAAATGGATGGGGAAAATTTAAGTGAATATGACGCAGTCAAACGTTTGACCAAACAATAACTAAAATAAAAGGACTCTGACTGTAATGTAGAGTATTAGAGATCTTAACACAGATAAGTTAAATACCAAACGGGATCTTTCGTTATTTAATGATGAATGACAGCAGATGAATGAGCTGAACATGTAAGTAGCCATTGCTAACGGTGATGGTAAATGACCTGTCATTTGCCAATTTTTCAAATGACCTCAAAATGACCGGTCATTTGAGGTCATTCAAATTTGGGTCATTTGGAAATGACTCATGACCAAGTGACTACGCATATAGAGTTGGCATACTGTATAACTAATTACGAAATAATCTGCGTAATGCATGTTTAAATAAAGAGTATATCTATCCTGCGTCATTTCTCAATTCACGTCGATCATTAACTTATGTTATTTGTAAATTAGTCACGAACTTTTTTTTAAAAAAGTAAATATATTATCTTTTGTCTAATATACATACATATTGAATCACTTACACTTGATCTTGTGATAGGATCCTATCATTCCACTTTCCCGACAATGCCGAATTCCTGACAAAGTTAGCCCGCATTAGGTTAGGGTTAGGATTAGTTCTGGTCAATTTTGTCAGGATTTTATTTGTTAGGAAATAGTTGTTGGAAAAATGACAGACCCATGACCGTTCATTTTGGAGTCGTCAGTCATTTGGATCATTTATCAAGTGCAATAATTTTTATTGGATAATGTCTAGCGACGTTTGTCAGTTTTATCTGTTATGGAGAACAATAATCAATTTTGATTGGCTAAAAGGTATTAGATAATTAATTGGAGAGTTAAATGACCCTCTTAAGTCATTTGGGCTGTGAAATGACCAATGACTGGTCATTTGTCATTTGAGTCATTTGGATTTAAAGTCATTTACCATCTCTGATTGCTAAAGACAGGAGACGTCGGCCCGATTTTAATTTCTTCATGTCAAGGATTTCTGCCCCGGCTTCGCGTGGGTATACTGTAATAAAGCTCATTTATTCATTAAAAATTTGATCTGATTTTACACGTGTAAATATAGTGTTGATTATAGAAAATGTGTTCATATATCTAGCCTATATTATCGTTGATGAAAACTTGGTATAACAATATTATAAGCTTAAACGCTAAATCCGTCACAAAAATCGACCTAGATTATACGTGAGAATAGACTGAGAAAAATTTTTGGTGCATAAAGTCTAAGCTTGATAATCTCATGTCGGATGCGGATGCATTCCTTTATGATGCTCTCAAGAAATGTATAAAAGAAATAGACATTTCTGGGCTCACTTGGCAATAGGGATTGGGAACCGATTATAAAATTTTTTTATAATGCCGAGCCGAATTATGTTGATCATTGGCCAGGACAATTTTAATACCGGCTGAATTAAAGTTAATACGGTTAAACAATTAAACTGTTAAGAAAATTTTAGGCACTACTTGGCAATCTCAATTGATGAAAAATTTAGGCCGGAAGCAGAGACGTAATCTTTTGGTAAGGATAATTTAGTGATACATAGGTTGAATTTATATTTGTGAATACTGTAGTTTTAATAAGTATTGGAGCAAGCTATTTCACATCCACCTCAAAATGTTCACTTGAGTCTTCTTCCCGTGTAGAGACGAATGGTGGCAAAAAAGATCCAAGAACAATAGTAAAACAAGAAGTTTAAAAAAGCAAAAGCGCAAATTTTTAGAATGTATCAGAATCCAATGAGTTGGAACAATAGAATCATTCAAATCTTCATGTAACTTTTATTTTCTGTATCAATAAAACAGGTCGCCTTATTTCATAGGTGTTATTTCTGGAATTCATTTTATTGATTGAGTTTTTTGGCAGAAGTAACTTTTTTCGCTTTTTACAATATTATAACAAAATTTTATATTGTAAAGATCTTAGTTTTCGCAAAATCACAGAAGTTAACAAAATTTTGATTGATGTGTAATTTATTACAGAATAACTTAATGTATTAAGTTAACTTTCTTAGTATGAAGACTTCATAATTACCATAATTCTTTGATATTCAAGAATACATATTGTAAATATTCATAAATTTAAATATGGTTTATTATAATAAATATAGAATAAAATTGCATTTAATTAAACAAGATATGCAAGAACTCTCAATCTAACGTACATAATCATCCAACTTCCATCTTTCTCGTTATAAACTTCAGGTTTACACATTTTAATTACCTCATTTATAACGTCTTCCCTCTCTTTATCATCCAAATTTTGTATAAATTGATTTCCAAAAGTATCAATCCACCCACGAAGATTAGTTGGTAAATAAGTTGGACGAGGAAATAGATTGATTGACGAAATTTGGAATGAGGCGTTTGTGAGTAATGCGGAGAAGGTTTCTTTGGATGGAAAGACCCTTTTTTGAGTTCCAAAAAAGTGTATAGGTTTGATCTATGTTTGATATAATATGAATTATTTAATTTTAAGGAATCTTACCAAGGTGAAAGAGATGCACCATTGTATCCACGTTTGTCGAGAGCTGATATCATTGACCTTTCAATAACTTACGTGTGTATTTACATTAAAAGTAAATGTCAAAACGAAGTCTTCTAGTTCACTTAATTGTAAGCTTATAAATTTACCTTGCACGTTTCCTTTACCACCCATCTCTAATACTAAACGTCCACTGGGTTTAAGACATGTACGAATGCCTTCTACCACAGCTTCTTGATCTTTGATCCAGTGGAGTGCTTTGAATTTACACATTCAGATTAGAAAATTTCCGAAGAGTTCCATTTTCATGATATATCAATAATTACCAGCATTAGAGAACACAGCATCAAAAGTTCCTTCAAATCCTTCAGAAATAGACCACTCTTTCAATTTTTCTCCATCAACAACTCTAACATCTTTACATCCTAATGAAAAAATCGAATATAAGTTATGAGTCCGTATATGTTCAATGATGTAGAATTTTTCTTTTGAATGTACCTGCAGATCGTGCGGCTTCAATCATTCGAGGGCTTTTGTCGATGCCAATACATTCTTTACACATTTGCTGAATTTGAAAAGTGAGTACACCATCACCACAACCGAGATCTAGGATCCGTTCATGTGATTTAGGAGATAGTAAAGATATCAGGTCTTGAGGGATAGTTGACACGTATCGAGCGTGATAGGAATAATTAGACGGAGACCATGAATCTGTTTGTGTCTCCATGTAGCCAGATAACAAGGAAAGATTTGATAATATTGATGGTATTTATGTTATAATTGATTTTAAGTTATTACACAAGAATCTTGGAACATAGTGAGTCATATTAAATCATCTACACTCTCGGATAAATATTAGCCCTATGTCTAAACGAAACGAGGCCATTCATAGTAAGTTCTTATTTACAATACACTGCGTCATCATGAATCAAATAATTTCGTATTAGTATAACTCCAAATAGCGATAAGAAAAAAACTTAATTTTCGAAGTTAATCCTTTAAGCTGTAACTTGAGATACTTTGTCACTTCACGTTGACAATATTATAAAAAAAAACTATCTTGTCAGCAATAGTAAAAGAGTTAATAAAAGAAAAGTTTTTATCCATTCAATTATGGCTTTCATGAAGACAATTGATACCATCAACGTAAAATTTGTCGTGCTGATTTGTCATACGAGTCATCCGGATCATTTTTGATAAATCAAGTATCAGAACTTATTGTTCGTAAAAGAATCTATTATTTAATTTAATTTATTGCGGTTTTGCAAATTTGTGAGATTTTGCAGATTATCGAAAAAAAAAAAGAAATCACTCAATTTTTAATGATTTTTGATTTCTTAAACTATTCCAATATGATAGTCTCTTAAAATCGAGTGATTTCTTGGCGATTTTTTTTTTTCATAATTTGCAAACCGCAGTAAGATCTATTTTTAATATCATTAACGGTATCATTCATTGATGATTATACATACGTATTTTCTTTTTTTTTTCTATTATTATTTTTTTGATGAGATTTCAATCCAAAAGTTTCTAAAACAATCAAGATTTTGACAAAATCACTATTTAAATGTTTCGCGAAATGATGAGAAAGGATGAACGAGGACATTATTTAAAGGAAGTAAAGTAAACTAGAAAAATTATCATTCTCGATTTTTTTTAGCCCTTCAGCGACAACAAATTTGAAAATTTATAATAAATATTATCCTAAACCAAGAAACATTTTAAACTATAAAGTATTTCAAGATGCCGAAATTTAAGCACACAAAATTAATTATTCATTTAATAATTGTGGACATTCTTTTTATCGAATTCTCTTTTGCAAATTTTTATCATCCATACCAAAACGCATTTCCAAACCCAAATTTTTATATGAATCCATATCCATATCTTCCGGAATATTTCATGAATCCAAATTTTTATTCTTTTCCATATTATGATTATCCACCAGAAGATTTTAATTTGATCCCTAATGAATTTTATGGTCATCATTTATTCTATGGTGGACCTGCGGGTACACTTTATCCATATTCGAACTTTCAATTTAAACCGTCTCCTTTATATGAACGTAGAAGCTTTCTAGAGTTGCCAAAAAATAAATTTGCAAGGGATTTCTTTGAAAATAATTTTCATAAACGTTCTGCTGAACCACTCTTGAATCCACCAACAGTTTTCATGTCGAATCAATATCAAGATGCTGAAAATACTCAAGCTGAAAATCTTAATTCTGTTAACATGGCTGCGGCTAATTCTAATAATTTAGCAAGTTCAAAAGATAAAGAGTCCGCAAACACATTGGTTAATAAAAGACAGTCTTCTATAGCACCTATGGTGCCGCAAATCTTTTCATCGAATCAATTTCAAGACATCGAAAACTTAGAAGCCTCCAACCTTAATAATGCTGAAATGTCCGCGACTAGCTCTAATACATTTGCAAATTCGAAAGATCAAGAATCAGCGAACACGATGATGTTTCATAAAAGAAATCAATCTCAACCTTCGGATGAAAAGCGCTCCATAGCACTTACCCCACCATCGGTCTTTTCTTCGAATCAAAATCAAGATATCGAAAATACTGAAGCCGCAAACCTTAACACAGCTGAAATGTCAGCGAATAATGCTAATACTTTAGCGAATTCAAAAGATATAGAATCATCAAACTCAATGTTTCTTAGAAGGATTTTACCTCCATCTAAGCCATTCATTTCGACCAATCAAAACCAAGATCTAGAAAATCTTGAAGCCGCAAACCTTGGAACAGTTGAAATGTCAGCGAATAATGCTAATGCTTTCCAATCTTCAAAGAATGTAGATTCATCAAATACGTTTATGATTCATAAAAGAAATCATCTTAAATCTTCGGCTCAAGAGCGTTCCATATTACCTAATTTACCATTACCTAATTCACCATTACCTAATTCACCATTACCTAATTCACCATTACCTAATTCACCATTACCTAATTCACCATTATCTAATTCACCATTGGGTTTCTTCTCTAATCAAAATCAAGACATAGAAAATACAGAAGCAGCTAACCTGAACAACGTTGAAATGTCTGCTACTAATGCTAATAATTTACAATCATCAAAAGATGGAGGATCATCGAATACGTTCATGATACATAAAAAAAGAGAACATAAATATTCAGATCAAGGACGTTCCATATTACCTAATGCGCCATTAAATTTCTTATCTAAACAAGACCAAGACATAGAAAACACGGAAGCCGCTAACCTGAACAACGTTGAAATGTCTGCAACTAATGCTAATGCTTTTGCATCTTCAAAAGATCAAGGATCTGCAGGCAATGTAATAATAAAAAAACGAAACGAACTTTTTGAACGTGACGCCGGTATACAACATTCATTAGATCAGTACCCGGACATTGAAGAAGGTACTACTAATATTGACGTTCTCTGATATTTATTATTAATGTCAAAATATAAAAGC